TGGAACTCCCCCCATGTGGGCAGATGCCGGACTGCAGGAGCTGGCACCTGGACAGGGTGTTCCTTTTCTCCACCCTGGGAGGTATGATTTAGCACCCCCTGTCTTCTGGCATAGGAATCTGGCTGCCTTTCCTAACTAAAAAGTGAATGTGAGTCCAGTTTGTTATCGGTCCAATTTACGCAGCTTAGAGAAACCTGCAAAGATTGAATAGATTCTGCCTTGGGCTTTTTGACTCTGTGTAATTAGGCACTGTGCCTCCAGGCACAAGTGAGCACATTGGTTCTAGAACTAAGGCAACAAGTTGAATGCATGATTGAAACATTTGATTTTTTTTCTTCGGTTTCTCTACTGTCACCTGCAGCACACCACAGCTCTTACTGACACATTTCAGAGAGGCCTTTAAACCTCTATCCATCTACAGTAAAATTCCTATTATCCGACATGAGTGGGCAATGGTGGGTGCCGGGAAGCTAAAAGTGCTGGTCACCTGAGGCACCAGGTTTCCAGTCGGACGTGGAGCAGGGTGGGGGGAAGGTGGTGGCTGTGCAGGGGGTGGCTGCCCAGAGGTGCAGGACTCCCGGCTCTTACCCTGGACAGGGCGGGTGCTGGTGCTGGGTCACTCCCCTCGACCGTGTCTGGCCATGCACACCTTGCCCCCCTCCCCCCCAATGCTAGGGCAGCCTAGCCACAGGCTACTGCAGCAGGGGGAAGGGACACACATACACAACCAGGGAAGAAAGCAGTGCAGCAGGCAGGAAAGTGGTGGGGCACAGCACCATGTACGTCCTGCTGCTGAAATTCCAGTTAATAGAGTATTCTGACTAGTAAAATCCTGGATAATAGGGATTTTACTGTACATCAAATGGCAATTAATCAACTTTGTTTCAAACTGCCTTCTAAAGAAACCATAGCTATGTGATAAATCAGTAGTGACAGTAGACTGCCTGTGTATGAGCTGAGGGCCAGAAGTTCCCTGATTTAAGGAGGATTCACAACTAAAAGGAAACAATAAGCAGAACCAAGCTTTGCATAGTGTGTATCAATGGGTATTAAATTGGCCATAAATCACCTGTCTCTTCTAAGAATGAGACAAATAGGGAAGAGAACGGGTGAAACTGAATGATGTCCTACAGCTGACTGAGTTAGTTTAATTTAAGGAGAGAATGTTTTTCCTACCTTTCTATTTTTTTCCTTATTGTTTTAATGCTATAAAACATACCAACAGTATCCTAAAATCTTAAGAAGAAGCCATTGGGTCAAGGTTTTGTATACACACTGCAGCTCAAAAAAGAAGTGGACAAAACTGGCTTTAAGTTGTCTTTATAATCCTATCAGGAGCAGGACTGCCAGGCACTGGTACAATCTCAAAATACCTCCCAGGACCTCCAAGGTGCTCAGCAGATGAGAATCACTCAAGATCAGGAAATCTTTCTTTCAACTCAAGAATGCTTTTTGCCCTGGTGGTCAAGACAAAGATTAAGGCAGGAACCACTATGCCATCTTAACAGGATGTGAGACTTTCCCTGTGAAAGGTGAATCCTCATGCAACCAAATACATCTTCATACCCTTTTTGTATGAGCAGGTAAGTGCAAAACAAGAAGCTCCTCAGGAGCCAGGATAAGCTGTGGATCCTAATACAATATGGTAATAAGAGGTAACTATCCCAAGACAAGGAAGTTTGCTGACTCATTGCACATTTAGCTACTGCTTTGTTCCTGGAGTCATGCCAAATTTTATTTCTAATGGGAATTTCAATGACCAGAAAAAGGTTTATAATCAGTTATTTCATTTTAAAGGCATCTTACCAGTGTGCTGCCATCAGTCCAACGGAAATCACGCTCAAACATCTTGTCGTTGAGACCAATCCACTGGTAATCATGCCCAATTCCTAAAGGGAAATGAACCACAAAGATATTTTATGAACTTTCCTGTAGAAGGGAGACATTTCAACAAGAAAAATAAAGAATTTGCACAGACTGACGTAGACTTCCTGTTCTTCGAATTCTTTTTAATTCACTGTGCAAACAAATATTGATAGGGTATCTTCTAGTCTTTTTATTTAATTAAGGAAGTCTGTAAAAATGCAGATTCTAACCTAATTATTTTTTTCAAATCCTCTATCTTCCCTCTGATGGGTACCTCCCAAAAAATCAGATTTGTTTTCTACCTAACTGTGCATTTTAAAAGTCAGACAAAGACAACTAGTGGAACGAAACTGTCTCAACATTTGACTATGGCTGTGTATATTCTCCCAGCTTGTTGTCTTGGTAGAAAACTTCTCACAGACACCTAAACAGACATTCAAATGCTGAGCCATTGAAAAGCAGAGACCTTCCTATCCTGACACTGCACAACCTCCATGTACATATTTCAGGGGCCCTGCAGGCTCCCTCAGTCTGCCTGGAGACAGAATAGCAGCAGTGCACAGGGAAGCCTTGATTGGCTGGCCCAGACTACTTAAGGTCAGCCTTCCAGCAGCACAACCTGGTGATTGTGTAAGAGATATGTTCTCCTCCCTGCTTGGCAGAAGCAGTAGAGTCCAACCCAAGCAACACTGTCTCTGGGGGTGACGGGAAGAGCGGCAAAGGGGAGGGGGAGGTGGAAGGGAGGGAACAAGGAACCCTGAGACACTGAAGGATTGTGCTGTGGCTTCTTTCAGAAAAGAATGTGTACAGACATTCGGTCTCCCACGAAAAACTCCCCTAGGAATGATGTAACCCTGGTTATTCCCACATATCTTTTTTTTCTTGAGTGGCTATTTCTGCTCTGGGAGAAAAAATCCTGAACATCTGTACACTTGTGGTTTTTCATAGGAGAGCACTGACTTTCCCAGGAGAAAATTAATATCTGTATATGGTCTCATAGAAGACATGGTCCCTTAAGAGACACACGTCAGAAGTTTTGGCAGAGGGTCACCAAGGCTAAGTACAGAGGTTCAAAAAGACCAAGGTGGAATTGGTTCAATCTTCACAGGTTTTTCTAAGCTATGCAACTTGAACTAATACCAAACTGAATTGATGTTCAGTGTTTGGGTGGCCAAGACAGGTGGAAGCCTGCACTGGCCCAGGCCACTCACATGCACTACCCTTCATTGTCAGCTGCCTAAAGCTGCTAAACCAAGACCAGTGTCTCTTCTCAGCCCCCACCTCTGGGGGGGATGCCACACCAACTAGCCCTGGCCCCCCAGCTGGGGTCTGCCTGGCATAGGAAAAGCCCCCAGTGGGGAGATTTTCACCCCCACAGCAGGGCTCCCCACCTGCTCCCCAGCCCACACCCATGAGAAGGGGCAGGGAAAATGCATGCACCCAGCCCAGCACCAGCCCCCCCATCCCAGCTGGGGTCTCCCACCCAGGCAGGAGAGACCTCACTAGGGCCTTTTCACTCACCTACAGCCCAGCTCATTGGACTAGAATCAGCTCAGCACTCCCTCCTCTCCAGCCCCTGCCTGTAAAAGGTATGGAGCAAGGGGGTGATTACAGCAGCACAGCTGATCCCCACAGCCAGGGTCTGCCTGGTGTAGGGAGGGGTGGGGGAAGAGCCCCCACTGGGGACTTTTTGCTTCACCCCTCAGCCTCTCTTGTCAGGCTGGCATGGGCTAAGCTTTGCCCCCTCTCCAGCCCCCCCCACCTGGAGTCTGCCTACTGAGGTCTGCCTGGCACAAGGCAATGAAAGTGCCTAGTGGGGGTTTTTCACTCCCTTGCAGCTCAATGAACCAGGCTGGAATTGGCTCTGCCCTGCCTTCTTTCTGGGAGGGGGTACAGCTGATCCCCACCTGGCTTGCCTGGCTACAGAAAAAAGCCCTTGGTAGGGCCTTCACCACCCCATGCTGGGCAGACCCTGGCTGGGGAGGCCAGTTCCAGGCCAGTCTGGCACATTCCCCTCTCCCCCTGCCCACCTCTGACAGGTGGGGGAGTTGGGGAGGGGACAGGGCTGAGCCCATGCCAATCTGACAAGCCAGGCTGCCAAG